TTCCGAAAATTTTGATGACTTTTTTAAAACTCCACCATGCGACAATTATTATCTTGGGTCTCTGCCTAATATTTATACTTTAACATAATCAAACCCACACAATTCTAGTAACTCGTAGGCTTTAAATTTAAATTATATGCTGGATGTAATAAAAATCCTTTTTGAAATTGAGCTTAAGATTTTATCAGCAAAATTAAAATAAATGTAACTAGGGCAAGTTAATGTGAATTTCGGTGCTTCTAAGTCATTGAGCTTGGAAAAACTCAAAAGGAGTACAATCAATAGGTCTAAGGAATTATTAAATATCGCCCTGTTTTAAACACTTCAATGACTTGAATTTCCCGATAATCGCTTTAAAGGGAAAATCGTGCTCCCTTTAAATAAAAAGATGCACATTTTCTGAAGCAAAAATTTCTTTGTAAACAAATTTTCTAAACACTGTATGATCGTGCACTTATTTCAATACTTCAGAGTACCTTATCCAGCCTATCTATTTTTAATACGTTCAATATTGTCCATTGTTCCATTGAATAGTAAGAAAATCACGATCCTCTCTGTTGACGTTTTGTATAAGAAATCAAAAATAATTTTGCAACAACACAATCGTCATCGGATCGCAGTCGAATTATGTTGATTTTTATTGCGATTGTCTCTTCTGTTATTATTATTATTTTATTGTTTTATTCGCTTTGGTAGCTTGTCGCCTTTATCTCTCAAATACATACATATTTAATCCATTGGTCAAAATGGTCCAATATATCTTCCACTCAAATCGACTCGACTCGACTCGCCTTGCCATGCCTTTTGTGGGCACTGGCTGATGGCCAAGCTGGCTGGCTGCTTGCCCGGTTGCCGTTGTGCTTTTAAGCGCGCATGCGCACATTTAAAATGTTTGCCCGTAGTGTTCCATGCTCCTTTGCGGCTGTGCTGTGGTCCACATTGTTATGGACTCGTAAGTCTTCATCTTTAGTATGGCGTCGTTTATTTTCCTTTTTTGTGTTGAGTAGTAGGTGTTCTTGTTTTATTTTTTTAACTGGCTGGCTTGCTGACAATAGCCACATAGCTGACAACCGCCAATGCATAGAAGTGTATGCATGAGTATGTATGTATGTATGTTTAGATACACATGAATATAATACACTACCTTTTAGTGCGGCATTTATGTATGTGCCCTGCTACCTTAACCTTTTCATGCCACAAATGGTCAATATGACTTAAGCTTCGTGTGCAAAAAAAAAAAATAAAACAAAAAAAAGATGCCGAACAGAAGAAAAGACTTGAGCAGCGCACAAATAACTTCAGCTATCTTTTGTGTTCGTCTTATATTTATTTCTTTAATCTTTTTGTAATTGTGATCTTAAGATGCGCAAATGTGTTGTGGTGTCCTGCAAACAACTTATTCTCATAGCTTTGTGATCTACAATAAAAAAATATTAAATGGTCACCGCCAATAAGAGTACAGTGGCTTGAATTGACTATATAGGGGGAGCTTGGAAACTTTAAGAATTGGAATTTTTTTTTGTAACTACATATCGTCACCAGAGTGGAAAATCGACCTATCTTGGCAGCCAGTTCGAAAACGCTCTATCTCAGAAAGCCCTTCTTCAGAATTTCTTTGAAGAAAGCCCTATCTAAGATGCGAAATTCAGACATCGCGGCGTGTAGGCAACTCCTTTTAGTGGCGTCGAAAGCGGCTTTGAAGTGTACAAATAGGTGGTGAGTGTCAATCCTTTTCTCTCTCAAGATATGGCGTACGGTGAATATCTGGTCTTTGGGGGATTTGCCATGTCTAAAGCCGCTCTGATAAGGTCCAATCAGTTTGTTGACGGTGAGCATCAGTCTTTCACACAATACACTCGATAAGACCTTGCAACCTATGCTTAGTAGGTTGATCCCGCGGTAGTTGTCGTGTATGGCGGGATCGCCTTTTTTTGTGGGTTGGGCAGAGCACACACTTATATTCCAGTCGTTCGGACATGCGTTGATCTGACCACATTTTGCATAAGATTTGATGCATGCACCTTATCAACTCCTCGCTTTCGTACTTGAATAGCTCAGCTGGCAAGCCGGCAGCTCCAGCAGCTTTGTTGTTTTTCAGCCGCGTAATTGCTATTTGTACCTTGTCATACTCAGGCGGTGGAATATCGACTCCATCAACGTCGACTGTGGGCTCGGTTTCGTCTTCTCCACTACATTCACTGCTGTTGCCATTCAGGAGGGTGGAGCGATGCTTGTAGTGTTTCCTTGTAGCTGCCTAGGATAAACAAACCATTTGGATACCCTAATGAATTAACCTATTTCGAAATCAGTAGCTTCTGATAGATCCGCGTTACCATGTGTCTTCCTGTTCTGTTTAGTGGAGTTCTATTCTTACCCGGAAAAACTTGCCGTATGTTTGCCTAGAGCTCAGTGTTCCGTATTGGTAGCTATTCTGAATTATTCTCTTCTTGAGTTCTCTTCATATCTAGAAAGTCCGTATACCTGACCAACTGTTTATAGACAGTCCAAGACTACTTGCGGGTTGCGTAGTCCACCATATTCATAACCGCCTCTTTCAAGTGAAGTGATATAGGAATTAGGTTGAGGATAGCTTTTTGCGCATCTACTACTCCTGATTGGCCACCCGGAAATCTCTCTAAGCTATTCTCGGGGAACTAGATCCAAGAGACCACTGATTGAAGTAAAACTGAAAGTGAACCAGATCAGTGGCATTTCCCGTCTGGGTATTAGTAGTTGCGAAGTGAAAAAAGTTGCCCCACTGGTGGATCTATGAAATCGCCTTACTGAGGATGGAGAGCTGGAGCCTTTACAATTAGTTAAAACGAGACGGTTCGTGGCTTACCTTCAAGGCGGCCTTAAGAAATTTCGGGGGAACTATTAAAATAGACCTACTGTTAAGAGGGCTTCATGTAGTTTATCTATCTATTAAAACAAGAACTCATGGAAGATTGTCCGCAACAACGTTGAGGAAGTCTGGGAAGCCAACCGGTTATGAAATGTTTTATCAGAGTTTTCTATTTATCTCAATTATGTTCATCAGGAAGATAAATTGCAACTGAAGCTCATCTAGGGACAAAATGCTGGATTTTCTGTTCAATGCGGACCTCCCTGGTTATACCATGGTACAGAGCACCTTCGATCCTGGCTACCACAGCAAGGTGGCTAAGGACATAGGTTCCTGGGTTAGTTGATATTTTCCTAAGAGGGCTTCAAGAGGCATCTGAAATTGTATAAATTAATCTTGGTGCGTACTTAAAGCGTGGACAATGGCGACGGTTGCTTTTCATATCGAAGAGAATTAGAGCTATTCGAGGAACTATTACTAGGAATTTTTCTTGATTTTGGCGTAGCATTTAATCATGTTTTATTTTTTATACTTTTTATTTATTTACATCTATTGGACTTCATACGTCTGCTCTTGAATGAGATAAGAAACCGTTAAGAGTAGGTGCAGATTCAACTCTTCACTTCAAAAGATATGAACCTCCATCTGAGCTAACTTTTCACTTGAATAAAATTGTTTATCTACGTTTTATTAGTGAATTTCTCAAGGCGTATTTATAAAAGGCGGTGTTACTAGATCAGCTGATCTTGATCACGGTTCGAAAGTCAAGTTGAAAAGTTTCGTTTCAATTTCCACACACATTCTTACAGAGTTTAATAGTTTATGCCGCCAAATCAAAAATAAAATACATGTAAATTTTTGTTTTTGCAGCCCTGCTATCACCTTATATTAATTCGCCTTGGAATTTCTATTCAGCGAGTCTTCCTAACCGACACACTGTGCGCACGTCAACGCTATTGTTAACCGATCAACGTCTTTTCAACGGACTGTTCTATTTCTGTTTGGTAAAATGGAGGAATAAATATTGCGAAAAAATTGTGTATGCGCTTCAATGCATGCAACGTGCGCATAACATGACGGCAATGCACACCAGTACTACCCAACCAACCAACCAAGAAAAAAATAAAATAAAAATAAATAAAAAGGGAAGCACAGACAAAAAATTGCAAGCGACTGACGGCTAAGTTTGGAGGGAGGCATAAATGTACATGTGTAGATATGTACAAACATGCATACGAATAGTGTATGCGCACAAAAAAGCGCTTTCCCAAATATTTTCAGACATGAAGTGCTTAAAATTCACTAAAGAAATGCCACACAAACAAAATAAAAACAACAAAAACTCCAGCGGCGAAATGCCGAGGACACATAGCCAACTGCCAACCGCTAGAGCACAGAGTACTTAGTTTGTAGCCAGGAAATGGCAGCAGATCGCCTCGCCAGCGCAAAGTGAGTGGTAAACAATAAATGCGCAAAACGCTTCTCACTTGTGCTGTCGTCCCAGGCCGAGGCTTGGTGGGTCCAAGCGCGCATGGCCAGTGAGGCCACTTACATAGATATGTGCTATGTCGGTAGGTGATGGTGCTAGAAGTGCGCCTGTGTGTACATGCGCATGAGTGCTTAAGCCTGTCTTTAGTTCGGCCTTTTGTTCAAATGCGTTTCAGTTTTGTTTTTTTTTGTCTCTTTTTATTTGCCCATTTTTCGTTTGGCCCATATAAGGCGCGGATGCGTAGCTTAAGCATTTGTGCATTTCAACTGCATTTGGTATAAGTATTGTATAAATTTGTAAAAGTAATTGCCATTGCCCGATATGCACATAAACAAACACGCAAGCGATTTTATGCAAAAGCGCACACACAAACCGGCAGTGAAGTTTTTGCTGGGGAAATCTATTTTGAAAGAGTTGAAAAATTGCATTGCTTAGCTTCCAGGCATTGCATTGAATTAGATTTCTACGTCAGTTTTGTTGTTGACGGCTCGTCTAAACAGTTCTGCTGCACTTGACACGTACTCTCTAAACAAAAAATATATACTTTCACATTATTGTAATTACGATTTATGTATGGAAATTAAATTTTATCTGCTCATGAATTTGTTTTATTTTCGCATATGTTTATGTACGATATTTATGAACTTTTTTTTATTTTTTTTTTAGGCTTGCGCTCCACGTTATGTCTTCCATACAATGACACCAAATAAATCATTGCGTTATGATCCAGTCGGTACGTGCTTCACATCCAGGAATTTTACGCATTTCAATGAAGTCTCGCCATGTCGCACAAGTGAGTATTCAAGCGTAAAAGTATTGATAGTCAGAAGAAAGATTGATTAAGATTATTTTTAGCTGCATTTAAAGTGCGCAGTTTATTTTTAGTTAATTTGCATTTCCTTTATTGGTTGTTTGTAAAACGAATTTTCAAAATTATGGAATACACTTGACTACATCAGATTGAAATAAAGTATTTAAAGGTGAGCTAGATTAGTCTGGCTTACAAGATTAAATACTGTTGCCTCGACAAATCTCTTAACAGTATATTAGGCGTGTTTTTTTTTTTACACGCATACGCATCTGAGCTTAAAAATTGTATGGCTTGGCGAAGGCTTGTTTTTGCTTTCTTTGATCGACACGAACATTCTGTCGAATCTAAGGCCAGAATAATTTGGCTAACTATCCTTCTTTTGTACCATATTGAGGACTATTTTAAGATACTTTCAAGCTTCGTATCCAGGAAATCCACTATACTGTACATTGCTCCAAATTAGAGACGGGTACGGGACAAAAATTTCAGTCCCGATCACGCCCATCCCGAAGTTAAATTGTTTTTAACGGTTCCTTTGGGTCCTGAAATCCATCAATAAGATTAATTCACATTTCTTTTAAATAAATTTTAAATAATAAAAGATCTGGTACATTCCGGTTATTTTTTTTTCTTGCTTTTCAATATCGTGTGAATAAAACATAAAAAAGTGATTATTTCACAAAACGTTTTAGGGTATCAATGATATGATGTCCAAACACTTTGGATTTCATTAGACCACTGTAGAAAAAGTTGCCACCATACAAACTTGAAATTTGCTTGAAAGAAATATGCCACTTTTATAAAATAAATTGCTGCTGAGACATTTGACCACTTTGTTTCGTATATGGGATTATATCGAGACAGAAGGAAGAATTCAGCTGTTGAGAAATGCTGGAATTAAAACGAATACATACACTTGCTTTTTTTTACCAAACAACCTTGCAATTTTTTAAGGACTTTAAGCCTAAAGAAGACATTACAAGCCGAAGAAGGGAAGAATAGATCTCTAGGTCTCAGTCTGTAGCCAAACAACTGACTAACCGCCCTATTCCCACAACGCTGACAAAACTCAGCGGCTGACTATTGCCTTTACTACTGCGCCTAATACTATGCCGCAAATTTATTTTAAACCCTCGTATGGTGACAGTTGTCAGTGTTGTTGTTATGGCCTACTGAGTACGCGACAACGGCGAAACAACCTCATTGATTGGTTGGTTTATACATATTGTGTTTTAGGCGCAATAATTGTGACAGTAGTCATACGATGAATTTTGTCAGTGTTGTGGGAATAGGGCGGTAAGTTTCAAACTGGGGGGTACACGTTCACTGCTAGTTACAGAGAGAGAGAGCGACTCTTACATTGCGGTTTGCACTGCTCTAGTTGGCAAGCTGTAAAAATTTAACTCAAGAGGCAATCAAATTTAACTTTCTACTCTGAAACTTATGCACTGACATTTGGTTCTATGCATTTGAAGACAAGTGTAAAGTTTAAAGACAAATACGAATTTCGCAAAGCCACAAAGTCAAATCTATTTTTTTTTACCCCTTTTAAATAATGTCAATTTCAACTGAAAATTGCTCTTGCGTTTACTGAGCAAACAACCAACCGAAAGCGGTTTTTGATGGGTTTTCAATTTAGCAACATTTTAAGCAGAGAGAAAATTAAAGAAATACCTAAAACGCTTTTCTTTGTACAGAATTTTGGATGCACAAACATATGGGCATTTCCCAAAAAAGGTAAACCGAAAATGCAAGTAAATG